ATATATATATATATATATATATATATATATATATAAATGTAATTTCAATGCTGTTTCAATTAGTTTAAAATAGGTTAATATAAGGATGGGGTTACATTAATAATTGATAATGACGACTATATTCACCTAATTGGCAATCTCAATAGGAAAGATTACGACTGTGAACGGACTTTTAGGTACTTTTGCGTTGGATGTCATATTTGTGTATCACTCTTAGCATCTGCTTTAACAAGACATTACTAGCCCATCTGATGGACAGCTTATCCACACCTAGCTAATTACAACGCACTTCAAAGAACTTGGATTGCCTGTCAATTTCACAAATTATTTCATTTGTTATGCCATACCATTATCTCACATATTTCAAAGCAAACTATGTTCCATACTTACATTTCTCCTTAACTCTTTTTGTATTGATTACAGGCCTTGTGATAGGCCTATGCCTTCCTCATCCACTGGAGTTAACCTACAACAGGAGAGCATTTGTCAGCACTGGGCTTCAGCTTTAGGCAGTGAAACACGTGCCATAGCATTATCACCTGCCCTCAAATCATAGGTGATATAAACACACCTACACAATACACAGTGTCTGGGCAACAGAGTGCAGAAATATACATACACACACACCAGAAGAGAGACACACACAGTGACGACGCCAGCTAGTCTGGCCTAAGACGAGAAGTATTGTTATTAACCTCTTTTCCCCCAGTGTGAATGAAAACCAAAGTGAGGGTATATCCTTGTGTTATGACTTCAGGGGCTCGCTTTGTTCTCCTCTATAATGTAGACGTAATTACAGACTGGGATGGAGAACGCTTTCTTTATGTGTCTCTCGCGCTATCCTCTCTTTCTCTCTTATTGTGGCCCATGGACTTATCCCTGTCAGACTTTCTCCATTCTTCATTATCTCACTCTCCTTCTCTGTCTTTTTGTGTCACATTTGCTAGCTTAGTCAATCATAGAGGATTATAGGCCTATACTATTTAGCTCAAATACCACCAAATGTTAGGGAAATTAAAATATTTTTTAGTTATTTCATTCTGTTTTAGCTGTACAGGATATGTACAAGATGTATAGTGCATTGTGAAAATTGTGTTAAAATGTGTCTATATGAATGTAAAATAATCAAATGAGGTTATCATGTTCTCAAATAACTACAGTGTCACTCTCTATAGATTTCCTCGAGTTTTGCCATTAAAGGTCAGGTTTCAGTCTGGACAGGCAGGCTTCGGGACTGAGCATCGAGGCTGGGCGTGTTGTGACGGTTGGTTGTACCTGTGTGTTGAGGAATATTGGCATAAGATAAAAGCACCTATAATTTGTGTAATTCTCTCCTCACTATTTTGGTTTAATAACACGTGTCCTACAACCAAAACATGTAACAACCTCGCGCATCATTAGCGGCTCTTTTCAGCGCTCCTCCTCTCAGCCGAGATGAAAATGAGTTTGACGGAAATCAAACAAGGCGGATTAATTAGCTGTTGGATGCTGCGATCACTTTGTCTTGTCTCACTTCCTTAGCCAATTATAAGTTGCTTGAGAGCTAACTGTTTGCCTAAAATAACTAAATCGGATTTCTGTCGAAACTTTCCTGTGTCCTCATAATATCAACGTTAGTCGTTTTAAGGAGAAATACATACGGCAAATTATCTTACAATCACACGGTAAAAAAAAA